TGAGTTTCCGGTCTCAGGTGGCTGCTCTTCTCCAGGCGTCCGCCATAGTCTGTGAACTTGGGAATGAGCCAGACGGATGCCCGTGTCGCCCCCACAGGGAAGTGTCCTTGATAGGCCTCCTCAGCCAGGTTTGGGCCGAGTTTCTGAGGAGACTCCTCTACCCACGTGGGGATAATACAGGAATCATTTCCCGACCTCTCACTCTGCCTGGCCGGGACCCTAGGTCATTGAGCACCATTCAGGCATGGCCTTGGGCCAGCCACGATCGAGGTAGTCTTGGTCATCGAATACCTACTGGTTCCAGGCCCTCTGGAACTGGGTTGGAGTGGGGAGGAGAGAAAAAGAATCTACACCATCTCTTCTGCAAAGATAACAGGCCAAGAACAGTTCTTAAAACAATCTGACTGCAAAACAACAAAACTTACATTTCAGTTGGCCTCTGTTATCTTACTCAGTTGGCTCACCAGCACTTGGCAAAATTTGAAGGGTATCTTAGAGCTAGTCTGTCTTAAACAGCCTAAAAATCTGAAAATTCAGGTTGGAAGTAAATGCCTTAAAGAAGTGGGCAGTAGAAATGGAGTACAGCTAAAAACCAAGCCTTCTCAGTACCCAGGAGCTTTGATTCCTACTGGCGCTAGCTGGATGTGCCAGTTGACAGAGGAAACTGATTTCAAGTGAGAGCCCAAAAACTCAGAAGAGCATACCTGGCATGATATTGATTTGGAATTCAGCTGCTTCTCACATGGGCAACTAAATGCTCCAGGGGAAGCAGTAGCAAGGATTTAACTGCAGTTACTGATTTTCCCGGGCCACGTAGTATCGATAGCTCAATTTTGTCGAGCTGTTCATGTGATGTGTATATATCTGCAGGGGGGAAAAAAGCCAGGGACACCTATGCACACCAAAATGTTAACATTCATTACCTATTTCGTGTCAGAACCTACACTACAAAGAATGAGAACTAGCTGACAGCCTAGCAAGTGAGACAACGGGGTAAGGGAGAAGACTAGTAAGTTTTATTTTCTTTTAGTCTTCTCTGTTTTCCACTGTGTGGACAGACATCTTCTCTATCAACAACCAAAAAGGTTTCATATTGTAAAAGAAAATACTTTTTCTGGTAAAAGGTCAGCCGTCCTTTTGAGGGCGGAGTCAGAAGAGAGAGCCAACTCCTGAAGACCCTCTGCTTAGTTCTCAAGGTTCCCACGGAACGAAAAGTGGCGGCGTCACGTATCCCAGCGTGCGACCCGAGACACCGACAGTGGAAGCTCCGCGACTGACGGAAGCTGGGCGTTTCTCCTGCCGATGCGCGGACAGACTGCAGGGTAGAAGGCTGGCTAGAGACACAATCATAGCCACCCTCGGGGAACCCGCCTACCCACAGCTGTTAGGCTTCACAGGCGAGAGGTTCAAGTCCCACAGACCGGGGTTGCCGGAAACGGAAAGCCTTGAGCGAGCAGGCGATTGGACACAGACCGGAAGTCGGAAGCTGTGTGTGGCGGCGTCCGCGATGGCTGAGGCGGCGGGTGTCGCAGCGGAATTCTTTGCGGGCCACAGGGCCCGGGCGGCGCGCGCGGTTCTAGATCAGGTGGTGTTACCGGGTGAAGAGCTGCTGCTGCCGGAGCAGGAGGACGGAGAAGGCCCAGGGGGTGCAGGGGAGCGACCGCTGCGTCTGAACGCCGGGGCGCGCTCCCGTGTGCGCGTGGTTTGCGGCCCAGGCTTGCGGCGCTGCGGCGACCGGCTGCTGGTCACCAAGTGCGGCCGCCTCCGTCACAAAGAGCCCGGCGGCGGCGGCGGCGGTGGTGGCGTTTACTGGGTGGACTCGCAGCAGAAGCGGGTGAGCTGGAACTTCGGAGGGGTGGTACGGCCGGGAGAAGTCTGGGGAGATTCCTCGAAAGAAGCAGCGAAGGGGCCCAGGAGCCCTCCTTTCTTAAGGCTAGCCTAGAGCCCCCGCAGCCTTGAGCTTACCTCTGCATCTCCTTTAGAGGGACTGTGAACAACTGGAACGTGGCCCGAGATGGGCGATCAGGAGAGAAAGGAGCCCGGAAATCTTGGCATATAAGGAGATAAGGACTGTGAGACATGGCCAGTTTTCAAAACCCCAAAGGTCAGGGAGCAGCAGAGTTGTCTTTCAGGGTCTCAAAGAACTAGGCTTTATCAGTAGATGTCACAGGGAGTTAAATTTCTCTTAGAATAAATAAGAACTCATGTAGGAAAAGTTGCCCAACAATGGAATGGCCTTCCTTGGTTGTGAGGACCCCCTGTGCCACTGGACCCATGCAAACAGAAGTTAGGGAGTTCCTGATAAGGATACAGAAGAGGTATGGGATACTGACTTAAATGAACAGACTATTGGAAGCTGCAAATCTGAGTTTATCATGTGATTGTTTTTTCTTTTACTGAAAGTGGCGTATGACCAAGTTTGTTGTAAGATTTGTATTGATTTGGGGTAGAGTATAGCCCAAGTGGTAGAGCAACTGCTTAGCATGCACAAGGTCCTGGGTTTGATGCCTGGTACCTCCTCAAAAAATAAACAAAATAAATTGCCTCCCCTGGCAAAAAGGAAAAAAAAGTAAATAAGTAAAAATAAATTTAATTACATCCCCCCCCAATTTGTATTGATTTGTACACTTGGATTTCAAAATATTTTCTAAATATCTCTACTGACAAACATAATAAAGTAACCGCTAAGGGCTTGCTGAAGATGTCTTCAGAATGACTGTCATTTATGGTTGTTCTCTCATTCTGTTTTCTTTTGTAGTATGTCCCAGTGAAAGGAGACCATGTGATTGGCATAGTGACAGCTAAGTCGGGAGATATTTTCAAAGTTGATGTTGGAGGGAGTGAGCCAGCTTCTTTGTCTTACTTGGCATTTGAAGGTGCAACTAAAAGAAACAGACCAAATGTGCAGGTAATGACAGAACCTTTGGTTTCAAAAGTAAGAAAAATATCCATTCCCTAAATACTCAGATATCCAGAAGGCTACCTAAATTGTCCTATTTTCCCAGTTCTATAGGATGATCTTGGGGCATCTATGTAATCACTCCAGGCTTCAAGAGTTCCTTCCGCTGTTCCAGCTCTGGGACCAGAGTCTGTACTTATTTTACATTTGCTGTGCTGGGGGATGTTTTCATCTTTACTGAGTTGAAAGGTTATATCTGTTCTCTCCATTGTTATTTGTTATGCCTGTATACACTGGACAAGGAAGGAAGCCATAGGCTCAGGGAGGAAGGAGGGAAAAGCAGTGCAAATTGCTGTTTTATCAGCCATCCATCTACTCTGGATGTGGGTCCCAGGACTGGCATCTCACAGCTTCAGTCACATCACTGTTTGCCAACAATCCAGCTGACAGGAGCAGTCTTGTTACCCCAAGTTTTTAATTTGGACTTTTTAGGTAGCATGGCCACACTCTTCCTATCCATCCAAACCAGAAATTCGTTGGTTTCTTTGCCCTTTCTCACTCACCTTTCTTGTGTCTTTAGTTGCTTAATCTTATTAATCCTTTTTGAGTCTCTCTCTGATCTTCCACGTCCACCCTTTTATCTCCACTTTGCAAGTTCAGGCTTTAGCTATTTCTTGACTGGATTTAGTCAGTGACCTCCTTATTAACATCCTGCCTGTACACTTTTGCTCTTCATCCAGGCTTTTACGAGCTGACATCCTCACACTCTCCTTCCTCGAAAAAATTCCTTCAAAGCCTACGTATGTTCTTGGTATTTATACTCCAGAGGTTTTCCCTCATCCATAATTACAGCCTCCATATGGCCCTGCCTAAACCACACCAAACTATTTAACAGCACTACTGAATTCATAATTTCTTGCCCTTGTACCCTTGTTCCCTCTGTCTGGATTGCTCTATCCCCTTCTCAACCTATGGAACACATGGTCATCCTTTAAGACCCAGGCTGAACACCACCACTCTGTAAAAACATCCCTGATTTTCAGTCACTTTACTTACTAGATTCAGCCTTGAATGAAGTTTGTTGTCTATATATATATCTCCATTGCCCTCCGAGACCAAATGCTTCTAAAAGGCAGGGAATGTTTTGTTCCTCTCTAGTTCCTATAGTCACCAACAAATAGGAGGTACTTAATGGAATAAGTTTACTCTCCATTTCCTTAGTTTCATCATTTTGAAGTTCAACTCTTTGAGGTTTTTAAGGTAAATCTTGCACGGAGAGGTGTCAACGAATTACCAGTATTCCATTTTGCTTTGTATAATTTGCACGTCAGGAGTTTCTGTAATTCCCTAGAGCAGTGCTGTCCAATAAGACTTTCTGTGGTGACGCTCATGTTTCATATATGCACTGACTAGTATGTTAGCCACTAGACACACGTGGCTGTTGAGCACTTGAAATTTGGATAGTGCAAATGAGAAACTGAATTTTACATATATAACTTTAATTAATTTAAATATAAGTTTAACTACATGTGGGTAGTGGCTACCATATTGGACAGTGCAATCCTAGAAGGTTTTCTCTGGCTTTGAGATGACTCCCAGTTTTAGGATTTTCTGGTGGGTGAAGGGTAACAGTGTATGTACTAATTTTGCCATCTTTTAAGTTTCAGCTCCAGAGTGTGGGAATCCTGGAGTGTAGTCAGTCCTTGAGCCACAGAACTGTAGATGGCTGGAGAGAATCAGTAGCAGCACCTATAGCATGGTTTGCTGAGAGGAAATGACCTATCTTTCAATTATCATCGTAGGTTGGAGATCTCATCTATGGCCAATTTGTAGTTGCTAATAAAGATATGGAACCAGAGATGGTCTGTATTGACAGCTGTGGACGAGCCAACGGAATGGGTGTGATTGGACAGGATGGTCTGCTTTTTAAAGTGACTTTGGGCTTAATTAGAAAGTAAGTCCTGATGCCTTCTGGCTTGCCTGTCGTCTTTTATAGTATGCCTTCCTAGAAAGCTGACCAATCTTTGGGATTTGGATTCTTCACAACGTCTTTATCTCCTCAAAGTTAAAAATCAGTATCTCTTTAGCACACTTGTAAACTCACGCACTTAGCCCCTCCTCCCAGTGTGAATACATCAAGTTCAGATGTATTTGGCATTACAGTTTGTATTGATGTGGAGTCTGGCTTCTCTGCTGGAAGGCCTGCTGTTCCTTAGAGCTGATATATTCGGCCTAAATGTGAAAACTGGCCTTCCCCCTTTCTAAGTCACTTGAATACAAATGCAATTTACAATCGTACAAAATGACCAAATTTCTCTTATAATGGAAGTTAAATGTAATTAGGCTGATGTCATCCTTATGCAGACATTCACAGAAAGCTCCTGCTTTTCTTTCCTGGTAGATTTAAGTTCCCAGAGGCATATTCTTTCTCTGTTAGGTGTTTAGACCTTTACTTTCCCAAAGCTGTGCCCTATTAAAGTGCTTTACTCCCAGAGTCACTGAGGTTCAGAGCTATTTTGCATGTCTCTTTTTGCTACTTATTCTGCAGATTTGGAGAATTCAAGATGTTAAGCATGTTACTAACCAAGCAGCACACTCTTTGTGGTTTGACAGTCAATGCTCCTCTCCAAGTATTGAATTTAATACCAGGGAAAAACTTATGTGGTCAGGAAAATAAGTTTAAAGTGTTCTTTTAGCACCACAGATAATTAAAAAGCTACAGTTCTAAAGTCTAGAATTAAGGTGCTCTGATAATGTCAAGGAAGAACTTCATACATTTTTTGTAAAATTGACCCAAGGAGTTTGATTTCTTTGTAGAGGATAGCCCATTGTTGTTACTTCTGGTATATCTATTAGTGTAAAGCTTCTTGGAAGAAGCAGGCAGCAAATATTTTCATGTACTTTGTTCTTGGGATGATGTTGGCTGAGCTTTGAATAACTGTGGAGAACTGCCCAGAAAAGGAGTCTCCTAAAGGAAAGTCAGGTCACACCCTGCCACTTTAAGTTTTAATATTCTTTCTTCTTCCTTACCAGGCTGCTAGCTCCAGACTGTGAAATCCTACAAGAAGTGGGAAAACTCTACCCACTGGAGATAGTATTTGGAATGAATGGGAGAATATGGGTTAAGGCAAAAACCATTCAGCAGACTTTGATTTTGGCAAACATTTTAGAAGCTTGTGAACACATGACAGCAGATCAAAGAAAACAGATCTTCTCCAGATTGGCAGAAAGTTGATCTTTGTGGGCATTTTTATGTGTCAGTTGAGCCAAGAGACAATGGGTTTTCTAGGGGAAATGTTTCTCAGGTGAACCTCTCTCCATTAAATCTTCAGAAGACAAGATGTGAATGTACGTATTGTCTTATGAGAGTCCTAAATAAAATATTTTTATAAAAAAGTTACTGGTTGCGACCCATGTTCTTGTGAGTGGGAAAGTCATTATAAAATAATGATGTGGTTTTTTGTTTTTTACAGTGAAGTTTACAAAAAGTTACTATTTGATGTTAACTCCCTTAGTTATGCTAGAGTACAGCTTCTGTAATAAACTGGAGGTGACCATTAAAATAATTAATTTTCTGATGACAGTAAAACATGTTCACTAAAGAAAATGTAGAATACATAAAAAATAGCAAACACAAACCACCTGTAATCCCACTGTTTAGTGGGTGAGTATGTAATAGCCAACAATTACCGTGTGCATTTTGTTGTTCAATAAGTAACTATGATGAAGATCTCTGATTCCAAGTCCAACCAAATCTTACTTTGTTAGTATCATTTCCTAGAAGCCAAACAAAAGACTACCTGCCTAGGTTCTGAAAAATCAGCAGAGGTTTGTGATGGAATTTGAGAGGAAATTTGCATTTTTAAGCAAAGCCTTTAAAGGTGAAAATGGAGCCTGGCTGATGATCCAGGTCAGTGGTTCTGGGGTCAGAGACCTCCCTGAGAATGTAAGAAAGAGCTACAGACCCCTGAAGCCTATCCATAGGAGGCCCTTTGGGATGACAGATTATAGAACTCATTCAATATGTTGTTAAAGAACAAGGAGCATTTTGTATTCCTAAAGAGGTTTCCTGAAGACTGGGTCATTTTTAAGTAGTAAAAAGACACACATAACTTATCAAGCAATCATAGCTCTTGAGGGATTAAATTGTGAAGGAGAGTGGACAGAACACAGAAGTAAACTTTCGGTTCTTTTGAGATATAGGACACATTTTCTGAATTTGCTAGCAGCTTAGTTATCAAGTTTACTAACCCAAACTGGCCAGAGTAACTGAAGCAACTCCACCTGACTAGGACATGACAAAAGGGTCACAGATTTTAGGTTATAACATGCTCATGTCAGATGCAATGTATTTTCTGGATATTTTCAAGTTAGGCTTAATACTGTGTTTCTGCTTTTCAGTTTGATCTGTTAATTGCAAGTATATATGAAGACTAGTTTGCACAAGGCTCAGAAGGATATAGAGATACTCCCACAAATTGTTAGAAGGCTCCAGCTAGGAAGAGAGAAGCCCACCATGCCCATACTCAGAACAGGGGAGACAGAGTAGGAGTCACAGATGGGAACAAAGTGCTGCTGGGGCTTAAAGTAGGGCTAAGTTAGGACAGGCTGATCCTGCAAAGCATACATACAGCTTACTACTGAGTAGGGGAAAATCAGCATGATCGAAGTGGCTGGAGAAAGTCAACTTTATGATGCTGGTGTAGTGAAAATTAAACTCTTGATATAACGATAACTGAGTATTTAAGCTATCTCTATCATCTTCATAAGTAAGTGTACAAAACATGAATTAACACATCCAAAGTCATGTAGTTTTAGGGCTAATTCATTGTTATGTAAACTTTTTACTTAGCATATATCTGGGCACTTCCTGTGAGCCAGGCACTATGGGAGAAACAAAAGAGCACAAAATGTGGTTGGTCCCTGTTAGTAACTCCTATCCTAGTGAAGAGTCCAGATGTCAAGTAAAGGCAAATGAATGCCGCCAACATCCTCTGCTCTGCTCTTTGGTCAAGGCACCTGCAACAACTTCGCCTCCTGCAGCTGCAACCTTAGGCTGTCCATCATTCCACTGAGTTCTGAAGAACATAGCCTTTTCTGGAAGAAACTCCTTTCTTCAATGCTTCAGGCCAGTTTTGAGTATCAAAGTAAGTGGATAGGATATCAAATACTGTTAGAAAGGTAAACAAAACAGAGTTACCATAAACAAGAAAAAGAACTAGCAAATGAGGAAAAAGATGTTCTGGAATATTTCATTCAACAGATTTACTCTGTACCACACACGTTACTAGATCCCTGCTTGCCTACAAAGGACCTCAGCTTACACTGAGGGATACAGGCTTGTGAATGAACAGTGCTGCAACCGAAAGGAACACAGTACAATGGGAACACAACAGAGGGGCCCTGATGTGGCCTGGGATGGGGAAGGGAGCAGCCAAGATGCCTGGGAACTGAATCCCGAAGGACAAAGCCAGTGATGGGTTGAAGGCATGGCAGTTAGGACAAGGGAACAATTTCAATTATCTTTAACGTAATTGTGAACCAGGAAGAAAATGAAAAATGCCTGAGAGGAAGAAAATGAAAAATGCTTGAGAGGCCAGAATACATGCATACAGTAAAGTCCAAGCACATCAGTCACATGGGAGACTGCTTCAAGAGCCTTTTATACTTAAACACGATGCAAAGCAGCAGCACCAGAACTAACACATATTAAGTGTGGGCCGTGTGAGGAGTACCTTGATTGATGGCCAAGATCTCTGAATGATAGTTTTTCTCATTCTGGCGTCTGACCATGTATTCCTGGATTGGCAAGCGGGCGGTCTTGACTGAATGTTCTTGGGCCTTTTGAAATGTCACCTTCTGTAAATCACAGTTAAATATTATTCTTATAAAAATAATACACGAAGATATTCTCATTGTAATATGCAGAGTAAATTGTGAGAATCCTCATTTACTGCCTCAATTTCCATCTGTAATCATAATTAAATGATAAGTATATTAAAATTAAGTAGCCTATGGTAGAGTGGAAGAAAGTATAGATAATGAAGAGTATTTACTTGTGGCAAGTAAGAAATGGCTTGTGCAGCAAGCCTCACTCATCTATCCACTAGCTTTCACTCACTACTACTTAACAGTCAAGAAGGAAATAAGTTAAAAGAAGCATATCTGCAGCCACAGTCTGCATCCAAAAATCCAAGTCTAATCAATCAGTGGAGAATACTCCTGGCCCTAACTCAGTAAGACCCAATTCTGGAGTTTTCAGTCACATTGAACTGGTAGCAGCAAATTAGAAATAAGGGAGACAGGATTCGAGTCAGGTACACCACCAGCAATAAGACAGCATTAATGTATGAGAGCATACAGCTCAAAGGAAGGGAAAGGCTCTGAAAACCACAAAAAGGAGACAGAACTCAAGAAGTCCAACAATCTGAGGCCATGTAGTGTCAGAGTACAGTAACTAACGTTCCTTTAAAGATACCCCTGAGTCATGGACTGATGTTTAAATTATGTTCACTACCTCATAAGAAGCTCTGGGAAGGTCAACTACCTGCTTCAAAAAAAAAGGATGTCACTGTGCTGTGGGAGACGGCATTTGGCTCTTATGTCTTATTAATCTCTTTTAATCTAAAATAGTCCCTGTGACTATTTCCGTTTTCATTACATTGACTTTTTTCAAAGTCTGGCCCAGTTGTCTTGCAGAATGTCCCATACGGATCTGTTTATGATTAAATTCAGTTTAAACATTTTCTAGCAAGAATACTTCACAGGTGAGAGTCCATCACATTGGGAGGCACACTGGTGATTCTAAGTTTGATCATTTGTCAAGATGCTGACCTCCAGATCATTTCATTGTAATGGTACATTTTTGCCTTTATAATCTGTGGGGTGGTACTTTAGGACCACATGAATAGTCAGTTCCGTCACAATCTTTCATTCAATTCCCTGAGTCAGTTATTACCCTGGGAGTGACAAAATGATGATTTTAAAATTCTATCATGCATTTCTTATTTATTAGCTGACATTCTTTAGAGCTCCCCATGCACCCCCTGCTAATGTTTTAGTTTACCACTAGGGAGTCATGGAACACTGACTTTTTTAGAATAAATGCAATTCAGTTAAGTATCACCTGTATTAAATATGTGTATATATCTCATATATAATATATATATATATATATATATATATGAAACAGATATACTCACATACATGAAAAAAAATATATAAAATATACCCCTAAACATATACTGTGTGATCACAGAATATATCAAGAAGGATACATAAGAAAATCATGGTTGCCATAGGCAGCAGACACTAGGAGACAAGGATGAGGGAAACTTACTTTTCACTGTACTCCTTTTTATACATTTTAACTATATGTGTGTGTGTGTGTGTATATAATTAATTGTCTATACAATGTTATTTAGTAAATATAAACAAGGTTATCTCAACTAATATTTATATAATAGAAACCTATTTCAAAACACCAATTTTTCCAATAAAATTCCAATTCAACAGAAGAAATCTGGACAGTCCTATTGAGGCTGAGATTATGGGGTAAGACGTCTGTTAACAGGGAAGATGACCTAAGAAGGAACAAACTACTCTTTCACAAAGAACAAATAGCTGGTAAGAATGTTGAGTCAAAGCTCCCTTGGTCAAAATCAGAGTTATTCCTGCAGACCTGAAGAGAATAGAGAAAAAAGGAAATCAATAATAGCTGTTTATATAATTACCAAATACTCCCCATTCCAGCTCCTGACTGGATTCCGTCAGGTCAGGGTTGCTGACACTGCTGAGGAGAGAGGGAACTCCGCCTGTGGGAGGGCCAACCTAGGCAGAAAAGGTTCCTTCTTCCTATTCCCTCCAAGTTTTTAGGCCTTTTGGGTAAGATTATGACAGGGCAAGTGCCTCTAAAAGTAAGCACCACTTTTCAAAATGCAGTTGTTGGACCTAAAATGTGCACTTACCTTCTGAACACTCTCATCCACAAGTCCACCAAGGATGTAAACTTTGTTTAGATCAACATCTTCAAGAGCTAATGAAAAAATGAAAGCCATTGAGATCAATCTGTTTTATCATTTCTAAATCCAAAGAATGTAAAAAGAAAGAATGATAGAAGTAGAAATTTAATGACATAGAAAACAAAAAAACAGTAGACTTGCTAACTCTGAAAAGACCAATTAAATAGATAACCTTTAGCATATCTCGTCATGAAAAAAAGGTAGCAGATTCAAATCATCATTAGAATTCAGAAAGGAGACAAAATCTGAGAGGAATGTAAAATAACTAGAAGAGCATACTGAGATCAACTTAATACAACAAAATTGAAAACTATGTGAAACAGATGATTTTCTGGGGAAAAAAATATATATATCTAACACTGATCCAAAAAGGGTCAACGTGGGGAGGTGACTAGGGAAACCGAGAAGGATTACCAAGTACCTCATAAGGTCCTTCTGAAGATGGGAGACTCTAAATCTGTGCAGCTGTGT